TCCTCTTGTTTCTTGTCATAGTAAAATAAAGACCATCAAGGCTAAACATCTGTCCTTTCTGCTTAAACTATTTTTCTGAGTTTAAACTTTGTTCCATTCCTTCTGTCAAAGAGAGCTTGTATTTCTCAGTTAATGGCTGCTTCTATTTCTTTGTTTTTAAGGAAATAATTATTGTGTCAACTGTGTGCAAGACATTGTTCTCATTCTTTTCCTTCTCTCTAGTTGTTGAGTGTGTTGACCATTTCTTGATTTTTGAAACACTCCCTCTCATGGTTTTCACTAAGTTTTTTTAATTGTACAAGTAATATGTGAATACATTCTCCTTATTAAAATCTAAAAATGAAGCATAAATAAGATTGGTATCCATTTGAACCACCCTCTTATCTCATTCTCATTTGCCTTCCTGCTACCCCAGAAGTAGACACTTTTTTGTTAGTTAGAGGGGTATCCTTCAAAACTTTTCTATATTTCCTGTACAAATGTGGTAAATAAAATTCTAACACTTCGTAAGAGTGTGTGTGTGTGTTTAATTAAGACAGGGAGGAAGAGAAACTGACAAGCTGCTTCTAAAATTTATATAGAATGGAAATGCAAAGGGCCCCAAATAACCAAGACACTCTTTAATATGAAAAATTAATGTCAAAAGAACAAAGTGGGACCTGCTCTATAAATATCAGGAGTTAATATAGTTAAAGTAGTGCATTATTGGTACAAGAATTAACAGTTAGTCCAATGGAACAGAATATAAGCCCCAAAACCACCAACACACATGGATACTTGATACATAACAGAGTTTGTATTACACATTAGTGGAGAAGTTCTTTTTTCAATAAATGATACAGGCTGTCCACATGAAAAAAATGAAATTGGTCCCCCATCTCATACAATATACAAAAATCAATTCTAAGTTAATTAGGAATCTAAATAAGCAAGGCAAAACTATAAAGCTTTATAGATTGATAGAGGACAACATTTTCATTATGCTGGATTAGGGAAGGATTCTTTTTTAAATTTAATTGAATTAAAATTCACATAACACAAAATTCACCATTTTAACCATTTTGAAATGTACAATTCAGTGGCTTTAGTACAGTCACAATTTTGTGCAACCATCACCTCTGTCTAATTCCAGAATGCTTTATCAACCCCCCAAAAACACCATATCCATTAATCACTCATTCCTTATACTTCCTCCCCCCTTTCCACTAATTTGCTTTCTGTTTCTATGGATTTGCCTACTCTGGACATTACATATAAAGGGAATCAGACAATATGAGCTTTATCTCAAGCTTCTTTAGCTTAATGTCACGTTTTCAAGGTTCATCTGTTTTGTTGTATGTGTTGCCCCTTTTTACAACTGCACAATATTCCATTGTATAGATATACCACATATTATTTAGCCGTTGATCAACTGATGGACGTTTGGGTTGTTTTCACTTCTTTGTTATTAAAATAATGTATCTATGAACATCCGTGTACAAGTTTTTGTTTGAACACAAGTTTTCAGTTCTCTTGGATATGTACCTAGGAGTAGAATTGTTGGGTCACAGGATAATTCTGTGTTTAACTTTTTGAGGAACCACCAAACTTTTTCTGCAGAGCTGCACCATTTTACATAGCCAACAGCAACGTATAAATTTCTCCACGTGTTCACCAACATTTCTTATTTTCCTTTTTTTAATTATAGCCATTGAGTGGGTAGCTATATATCTCATTGTGATTTTGATTTACATTTCCCTAATGACTGATGATGATGGACATCTTTCCCTGTTGCACCTTGGCCATTTGTATATCTTCTTTGGAGAGATGTTTATTCAAGTCTTTTGCCTCTTTTTTTAAAATGATGGTTTTTTTAAATGTGTTACTTTGTCTTTTGTTGTGGAGTTGTGACTTTTATGTATTCTGGATACTAGACCATTAACAGATATATGATTTGCAAATATTTTTTCCCATTCTGTAGGTTGTCCTTTCAACCTTTCTTAATGTCCTTTGATGCACCAAAGATTTTAATTTTGATGACGTTCAATTTGTCTAAATTTTCTTTTGTTCCTTGTGCTTTTGCTATCATATTCTAATAATCCATTATGAAATCCAAGTGATGAATATTTACCCCTATGTTTTCTTCTAAGAATTTTGTCATTTTAGCTTTTACATTTAGGTCTGTGATCCATTTGGAGATAATTTTTGTATGTAGTGTGAGGTAAGGGACCAACTTCATTTTTTTAAAGGTAGATATCCAGTTGTTCTGGCACAATTTATTGAAAAGACTGTTCCTTTCCATTAATTGTCTTGGCACTTTTATCAAAAGTTAATTAACCTTAAAGGTAAGAGGGTTTATTTCTGGATGCTCATTTCTGTTCCATTGGTCTATATGTCTATCCTTATGCTGGTATTACACTGTTTTAATTACTGTATCTTTGAAGTATAAGTTTTGAAATTGGAAAGTGTGAGTGCTCCAACATTATTTTTCAAGATTGTTTTTGCTATATGGAGTCCCTTGAGATTCCATATAAATTTTAGGATGGGTTTTTCTATTTCTGCAAAAAATTCTGTTGGGATTTGATAGGGATTGCATTGAATCTGTAGATTCCTTAGGGTAGTATTGCCATCTTAATAATATATGTCTTTCCATTTATTTACGTTTTGTAATTTTCGGTGTACAAGTCTTGCACCTCCTTGGTTAAATTTATTCCTTAATATTTTATTCTCTTTGATGCTGTTGTAAATGGGATTGCTTTCTCAATTTTCTTTTTGAATTTTTCAATGTGTGTAAAAATACAACTGATTTTTGTGTGTTCTTTATGTATCCTGCAACTTTGCTGATTTTATTTTATTAGTATACATATTAGAGAGAGAGACTATAGAATATTATATACTATATATAACTTATATATAGTATATATATATAATCCTAAAGAATCCTTTTCATGTCATCTATGAATAGAAGTAGTTTTACTTTTTCCTTTCCAGTTTGGATGCCTTTTATTTCTTTTTCTTTCTAATTTTCTTGGCTAGAACTAGTACAATGTTGAAAAGAAGTGGTGGGAACAGACATCCTTGATGCTAATCTTAAGGGGAAGTCTTTGGTCTTTCATCCTTAAGTAAGATATTGGCTCTGGGTTTTTCATTGATGCCCTTTATCCAGTTGGGGAAGTTGCCTTCTATTCCTAGTTTTCTGAGTGTTTTTATCATGAAAGGGTGTTCTATTTTGTCAAATACTTTTTCTACATCAATTGAGATGATTGTGTAGGGTTTTTTTTCTTCATTCTATTTTATGTTGTATTACATTGATTATATTTCTTATGTTAAACCACCCTTACATTCACGGAATAAATCCCACTTAGCCATGGTATATAATCTTTTTAATAATGCTGTTGGATTCAGTTTCCTGTTATTTTGTTTAAGATGTTTGCATCTATATTCATAAAGGATATCGGTCTTTAGTTTTCTTTTCCTGTCATGTCTTCACTAGTGTTTGATATCAGGGTAATACTGGCCCCATAAAATTAGTTAGAAACTGTTTCCTCCTCTTCTGTTTTGTGGAAGAGTTTGTGAAGGATTTGCATTAGTTCTTTAAACATTTGATAGAATTCTTTAGTGAAGCCATCTCATCCTGAGTTTTTCCTTTTTGGAAGTTTTTTGATTACTGATTCAATCTCTTTACTTGTTATATGTCTATTCAAGATTTTATATTTCTTCTTGAATCAATTTTGATAGTTTCTGTGTTTCTAAGAATTAGTCCATTTCATCTTGGTTATCCAATTTGGTGGCATACAATTGTCCATAGTATTCTCTTATAATCCTTTTTATTTGTGTGAGATCAATAGTAATGTCCTCACTTTCATTCCTGATTTTAATAATTTGAGTTTTCTCTCTCTTTTTTCTTGGTCAGACTAGCCCTGATCATAAACTAAATTATGCATAGTTATTTTAAAATTTAAAATAAATTTTATAATTAACATAAATATTAATTGTAAAAGTAATCCACAATATTTGTCCTTATATTTGTATATTTTTAGAATAGTGCTACTCAATTACATCAGTCTTTATCATGTTGATAGGTATCATGAAATAATAATAGCCAACATTTATTAAGTATTTATTGCTTGGAAGTGCTAGTGTAATTATATACATTATCTTATTTAACCCTCAGAAGTAATCCAGTGAGGCAGATGCTGCTATTATCCTCATCTTTTAGATAAAGGAAATGGCAATTTTAAAAATACATTCATCAGTGTCCCAGCAGAAGTCATAACATACAGAAAATTGAGAAGAATTTAATAAGGGACTATGGCATTTACAAAGGTTTGGGCAGATTTTAGAGAAAGCAGCAAGGCATAATGCAGTGCCCTGGGACTAGTAATAGTGGGAATTAATTATTAGTACCCCTAGTCCAAATGGGGCAGAGGTGGGGAGCTGCTGTTGGAATCCAGAAAAGAGCTGTAAATAGGGTCATCTGACAGGGTCTGTGATCTTAGCCAACCTATGGTGACCTGGTAGAGAAGAAGCCAGGGGAATAAATAGCAGACCATACTCTCCTCCAACCCTTCAGCTTCCTGACAGTGCCTCCCCTTGGCTGAACCCAAATAGAAACCAGAAAGCACAAAATAGCTTGTTGGTTCTATCCATACAGGTCATCTTGGAGCAGAGAGTGAAGGAGGGTGGAGAATGAATCTAAAAGCGAAATGGAAGATACCTACGAATTAAATAACTGTTAAATGGCAGAGGCAGTACGTGAATGTCAAACACTTTACCCTTATCCACAATACTATATGCCTCTCATAAAAGTTTTGTGAAATATTATTTGGCCAGGGAAAATATTCTAGATCTGAAGATTTCTGTTCTATCCCAAATTGTTGGGTGCATTTATACCTAACAGTAAGTGAGACCAAATATGAGAGCTAAGCAGCAAAGAATGTCAAAAGAAAAACACGTGTGGGTATTGATTTTACATGTTGGTATTTTCAGAATATTAAACCATACTTGTTCCCCTTGCTCAGATTCCAGACTCCATCATTTCTCGTGGCGTTCAGGTGCTCCCACGAGACACAGCTTCCCTCAGCACTACTCCTTCAGAATCACCTCGTGCTCAGGCTACATCTCGCCTTTCCACAGCTTCCTGCCCAACACCAAAAGTAAGTGCAGTTCCTTGGCACCTTACACCTGCTCTACTATGTAAATCTGGGAAAACTAACCAATATTTCCCTCTGTTTGTCAAGGTTGGATTGCATGCAAGATAATATAGTTATCACCTACTGTTTCACAAACTGTCTTATTAGGTCAATAGTAGGACAATAGAAATTTCATGCAAAATGTCTACTCCTGCATCACTGCTACAGCTCTCATATTCTGTAGCTCCTATTTCTTTGCTGTAGAGCTGCTATTTTTTAGCATACTGAAGTTATTTGTTTATGCAGAGGATGAATGTATTTGTGGCCAATAAACAGCAAAATTAACACAATAAAATAATGTTACCAGAGGGATTTTTTTAACTTGTCCAGGCTGGGGTAGCTCCCTGCTCTAGTATCATTCCAAATTTTTTCAAATATCTTCAACTTGGAATGTTGCTGCCTAATATTCGGAAACAAATCTAAAATGATTAGAAAGAAAGTTTTAATGCCAACCTTTTGGGGAGGGAGGAAGTATCTTAGTATTTATTTTTTATACTTTTTCCCAAGTGTCAAATCACATATGGGGGGAAAAAGGTTTAGACGTTTATTTGCTGCCCACATCTTCGAGTATATGATAAATTAAGTAGCAAACTTAATTATGTCTCTGACTGCTGTCTTTTGGAATGTCCCTTCCCTGGTTATGTTAGTTGTTGCTGCTTTTGAGTTTTCTATGTGATAGATCCAATACTGGCATCAAAAAGTTAATAGTAACATTCCTTCTTATAGTGTTAGCTATCAGGCTATACACTTAAATTATTCTAGGGATCCGCAGGTAATTTTGCAAACTGTGGCTTTTTCTCTGTCATCAAATTTAAGGACTTATGTAGCTGTCTTCCTCAATTCCAACTTTTCTATGAGTTTTATGAATGTTATAATTAGATTTAACTAGAAATGATATCAAGCAGTTCTTGATATGTGTAGTGCAGTTGCTTTTATGTTCCATGGTACAACCTTCTCAGCAGTCTTCAGAGTGTTGCTGTTGTATATCATTGTTTTTAGACTTGTGTCAAAAATAACTGATACTAATTTTATAATTTTAAAAAATTGAGTTCCTAAATCTTAAATAAAGAAAAACTGTAAGAACATTCCTGATATGAAATGTATGTTAATGCCATTCAAGCCAGTCAGCTACATCTTTAACTGAATGAAAACATGGAGTTCTCAAGACTTGAACTGGATAGAAGACTCTCATCCATGTCTTTTAAATTTTTGAAACAAAATAATTTATTGTTTGCATTAAATTCCGCCTGTACAATCTTTACTCATTTATAAAGTCTGGGAAATAATTAAAGCTAAAAGTTAAGTCCACTATAAATGTTTAGTCATTCACAAAATATTAGGACCAAGGTATTGGAAATACATAACTATCCAAGACACGGTATTTTTTTCCCTAATAATATACTGTGAACATAAATATGTTAAGCTAAATTTAATTATACGTAATAGTTCCTGAGCCTTTTTAAAACTTTGTGATTACACTTTTAATTACAAAGGGAGTATAAAATACAATTTTTAAAATCACTTAGTGTTTCTAAATTTGCTAAAGTGAAATCCTAAAAATAAAAATGTTCACATTTCTTAAGTTATTTTGCTTATTGCAAAACTTTGGGGCAGCAAGTAGCTTGTCTTGATATTTTTTCCTTAGTTAATGCTTAGATGTTCAAACTGACAATGAATTCAAATAAAACAGTGTATATGAATATCTTTTTTTCGAAGAATTGTTTTCCTCTATTTTTATCTAGGAATAAGATTCTATTCCTTTTAGATAATTTTGATCAGCACTAGAATGTCTACTTCAAAGATAAATTATTGCTTTTATCTAATTTTAAATTTAAACTTTTATGGGTATAATAAAAAACTAGTTTGAATATTGATTTTTTTTTTATGGAGTAAAGAAAGTCAAATTAATCCTTCTATTAAAAGTCTCAAATTATAAAACAGCTTAATTGATTCTAAACTACATGCTCTTATATGTGCTTTTATGTCAGTGACAGATATAAGCCCTGTCCTAAACCTTACAGTTTAGTCAATGGTATATTAAAATAAATAGGTAGATAAACATAAATACTAATGATTGTAATTTCACAATAATAATTATAAGTTGAAATTAATGTTAAGAAGAAATGAAAAAGTTGTAACGATAAAAAATCATAGGAGGGAAACCTCACTTAGATAGATGATCAGAGAAGGCCTCTCTAGGATTTCACCAGGGATGTGAATAATGAATAGAAACAAAACAAAACCTTTGGGCTGAGTGGAGGTTTTGAGAATGGTATTCAGCAATAATGACCACTTTAAAGGCAGCTGTTACTAGGCATTTGTCACCAATCAAGAACTCTCAGACTAAAACTTCATTAGTACAAGAATAGTCTAATTCGGTGACTTCAAAATCCAATTTCAGATATCAGGATTTTTTTATTTTAAATAATGAATTTCTTTTGCCTTTGCCTACTGAATCAGATTTCAGCACCATATGTTGTAGCACTTAAATCTGTCCTAGGTAAATTATTTATTTGAATTTTGTTACATAAAAATTTAGAGCAGAGAAGAAATCAAAAAGAAAGTCAGGTTTCTAATTTGAGATATGGGTAAATGATGATGCTATTGAGTATATTAAGGACTAAAAGAGAAGAAGCAAGTTTTGAGGGTAAAAGAAAGGAGTGTTAATGCTTTTTGGTTTTGAATGTATTCAATTTGAGATATGTGTGAGACATCCCAGGAATAATGTCCAGCACAAAATTAGAACACAAGTTGAGTCTGACATTTTTTTGCTACTGCATCTTGGTAGTGATACTTATAATTTAGTTCATATTAGTGTTAGCCAAACCCCATAGAAATCTCCCTTCTACATTTCAGATTATCCATGCAGTCTGTCATGTGCAGAAATATATGTTCAAGTATATTTTCTTTACATCAGAAATACAGTACAGTCTTGAATGATCAGCACTGGAAGGAGCATTTGACTTGATAATAGAAGACCTGGATTCGAATGCTGGCTTCTCTACACAATAACCACACTACGTTAAGCAAGTTGCTCACCTTTTTAGAGCTTCATGTCTATGATAAAACTGTTAATCCTTGCCTCCCCAACAGGGTTGATTAATTTATTAAATAAGTCTTTGCCTGCTGCTGGCAAAGCTGTAGTGAGCAAGTAGACATTAGTCTTGCCTTTACAAACAGACAAAACAGGCAACTACAAATTATAATAAAGTGTAAGTGCTATGACTTATCAGCAGGGGTACAGAATACTCTGAGAATAACCTTCAGAAGCCCTTAATCTAGTCTTCGTGAAAACACAAAAGGGTTAAATATCCAAGTTATGATTGAAAGCTAACAGTTCCAACCTTTCCCTCTGTAGCTTTTTATCACTGAGCAGTGTTTAAGATGAAAGACTTCCTGTCTATTTGCATATGTGCATCCAGTTGTCTTAGATCAACAACTATAATATTAAACATTATTTTGGATTCACATTTTATATGTTCACTGCAATATAATATCCTAGATTATACTTTGATCCTTTAAGATTAAGATTCTCCAGCCATAGTGAGTATAAGATCTATAAAATATACCAAGTTTAGATTTCCTTTTGAGTACACTCATCACAATCTAATGAAGACAACCATATATTATCTTTTCTAAACAATTCTTCGTAGAATAGCATTATCCCCAGCAAATATTTACTTGCTGAATTGAGGTAATATTTTATTGCATATGGGAAAAAAGTCATTTCTCTTTTATATCAGGTATCTCCTTTTAATGAAATCTGACTGAAATGAAGAATGATTTTCACTCCTCTTGCTTTATGACACAGTGAAGTGTCTTTTAAGAACAAACTTGAGATTTTAGTCTTTCATTGCCCTAAGTAAAATAGTGCCTAATCCAAAAAAGGTCAAGTGGTAGTTAGATTCTGCTTAAATAAGAGTAGGCAACATCTAGAGGACTCAAGTTCATAAGTGGTGATACTCCCGCAAAAATAGTTTGCTAAAGGAATAATTCTGTAGCAGATAAACTCTGTTTTAAAGTGAGCGTGACTCACAGCTTAAATGAGTGCTGATTCTCAGTTATGAAAGGCAGCAGCATCTCTATTAGAAATAAAGAATAATGACCAGAGGAAAACCAAAAAAAGAAAAATCTGAACTTTCAATCATTTTACCATTCCCTATAGATGTTATTAAAATAGAGAATTTTTTTAAATAGAGAATTTTTAAAGACTAATTTAATTCTTCTTTTATTCTCTAAGCATCTGAAGTTTGACTTAAAAAATAAATAAATAAATATAGTCTGTTGTCACATATACCCTTGTACCTTACAGGTCAGAATAGAATTTTGTGCCCAGAGTAACCAGCAAGTTATTTTTTTTTCTCTTAGGAAGAAAATATAAGCACTGTCTATCTAATTGAATTAAAGTTTATAAAGTGATTAAAAAGTGTAGGTATTGAAATATCTTTATATGAAGGATGTGTTCATTTAATACACTAATGTGTAATCTTATATTCAAACAAAATGCAGAATTATGACTTCTCTATAGCTTTCTGTTATTGTCCTTTGAGCTAAAGTATTTAGATTACTCTGGATAAAGAATAAACTATTTTCTTAACTCACAGTTTTTAATGTATATGTCTGAAAGGCAGTATGATTTCCTTTACATATAAAAATGACATTATTGATCCAGTATCAGGATAATAGTCCCTCTGAGATTTTTTCCTAGTGATTGTAGTTTTTACAAACTATTCCATATCATCACCACTTTCCTTTGTGAACATCAGGCTGATCATGTGATATGGCTAGTTCATTGGTTCTAAACATGAGGTTCCAAAGTCATTGGAGAATCTCATGAAGTTGCTCAAATTCTAGCCTAGATCAAGGCTCTAACCAGGGCCTGCAAATTATTTTCCACTATTTTTAAGAGTTTAAACAAAATCAGTAAAACTACACTAACCATCAAGTTTCTTTACTTTTGTTTG